TTGGAACTGATAATTCTTTTCTATAGCTGTCGGACTCCCCTTTGGATATCTAAGCCCATTCCTGAAAAGCTGCCACCATGCTGGTAATAATAAAAATAAATAAAAAACAAAATCAGATCTCGGTGATTCCGAGATGATACGAGACCCATTTCGAAACACACTAACGGTCCACTAGCACTAGTACCCTCCCTAAGTGTATCTGACCGCAGTGGCAGCCTCGGTGTGGCCCTATTGGACAGACTGACCTTAGGTAATTCAGAATTTTGGTAGTTCATTCCTATGGTTCCTACTGAGCTCGAACTCTGGTCTGTACTTCAATAGTTCGGGGTGTACCAGCTGAGTGAGCCCCGCGGTGCCAAGGCACAACCTGAGCAACCTTAGCCCAATGAGACCGACTCGAGCCTGCATTTCGACAGTTCATGGTTGTTCCGAATGAGCTACGCTAGGCAATGTTGGTCCCAATAAACTTCCATAGGGGGAAAGGCAAAGCCAAGGGCACCAAGCAGCCCTAGGTAATTCAGAATTGCAGCGTTTTATTCGTTTGCTTTTAGCAAAACTCAAACTCAGGTCTATACTTCGACAGTTCGTAGGTGTATCAACGGAGCTTGGCTTAGTGGCTGATCCCACAAGACTGTTTTTCAGCTAGGCTAGGAGTGTAGGTGCTGGTCCCACAAGACTGTTTTTCAACAGTCCACGGGTGTACCAACTGAGCTTGCGCGGGTGTTGCTGGTCCCACAGGCCTATTTTTCAGCAGTTCAAGGATGTACCAACTGCGCTGGGTCGTGGTGCTGGTCCCACAGGCCTATTCTCTCAGCAGTTCGTAAGTGTACCAACTGCATTGGGTCGTGGTGCTGATCCCACATGCCTATTCTCTCAGCAGTCGTGGGTGTACCAACTGCGCTTGGCCCAGTGACACCTGTCCCACAGGCCCGTTTTCAACAGCCTGCGGCGTACCAACTGAGCTTGGCCTACAGGTGCTGGTCCCAGCAACCTACACTGGCCGACACCCTACCTCTATTAAGGAAGGTGTTGACGCAGTTGTTATCTATCCCCGTCTTAGTGGGGATACTCAACTCACGTCCGTCCGCTTCTTGCTCAGCAACCTCAAGCACCCTTTAGTTTTCTTTTTGAAGTTTTTTTCGGTACTTCTTCGCTGTCGGTCCCAGAGCCAGTTTCCGGCCTGGTTAATGGACGGAAAAATGGAGAAAAGTAAAAAAATAAAAAAATAAAAATAAATCAACAAAATAAAAATAAAAATAATAGAGTTGGAGATAAAAATAAAAATAATAGAGTTGAAGAGGACGAGGATCTACCGACGCCCTCTTGGTCTTGCTAGTCGAACCCAGGTTTGGGCCCTTCCGGTGAAACCAAAGGGGATAGTCACTTAAGACCCTTGACCCCTCAGTCTCCACCTGTCGCGCTTCTTTGCTCCATCACCGCTTGCTGGCCTCGAACCCCAAACCTGTCGCTCGAAAGTCCGGTACCGTAACCAATAGGATGAAGCCCACGTCTGAACTAGGTAGGCGCGAACCCGCATATAAATAGTTCGCGGGACCGTGATTGGTCCCACCTGCATAAACCAGGCCTCCGCCTTGGCCTACTGGCCAACCTTTTGGTCGTCCGAAGACGCCGATACACCACCCGCGCCTAGGATCGTAGCTACCTGGTAGGCTGGTTGTCGGGCGTTCGACATGTTCTGTCAAGCTTTCGACTTTCCCCCAAACCAGGTTTGCCAACGCCTCGCTCATCCATGCATCGCCAAACACATTCTTCCTGCGTGTGCTCAAGGCAGGGTCTTCATCTTCTTTATGACATACCCGTGAGAGGCTGAGCCGGCTTGAAGAGTGAAGTTAGTTTTTATAAAATAAAAGAAAAACATAACCAAATTGAAAACTACAGAAACGTAACCGGGCCCTATGGCTTGACGCCTTCCTCTGGGCTAGTGTCGCCGCTGTCTAGACAACCATCTCACAGTGGAACGCAATAATGCGTGTCCCCCACACTCTCTAATTCAATCGTATTTGACTCGGAGACTTGCCAAGAGCGAGATTGCCGAGGTGAGCGTCCTGACGGGATTGGCCCCATCAGCGCATTACGTTGTTCAAGGATGCACCCAGTGTGACCTTTAAAAAAAAAGACAGCAAATACCCTTGTAAGGGTGTTTGCTACGACAGTCCTTCCAGACCCCATTATGCGACGTCTCCGTCGCTTTGGGTAAGGGTTAGAAAGTATAATCGGACTGAGCAGATGGATAACCAAATCCGTATTATGCGACGTCCCCGTCCCCGGCGAAACCACAATCAAATGCATAGACTGAGCAGATGGATAACCAAATCCGTATAATCGGAAGGACTCAGCTCGGGGTTTGGTACTCTAGTTTTGCGGCATCCCTATGGCGAGCAGGACTCAAACCTGCACCTCCTGTCTGACTCACAGGGATACTTTTGTTATACTACCGCCCTAGGTTAGCTTTAGTGCTCAAATACCAGCCCCTTCCGTTTATCCTAGACGCCTTCCGGTTTTCGTTGGGTGCCGTTTGAATCGGGCTGTCAAGTAACCGTCATCTTCGGGCGCGGGTTTTTAGGCAAGACAACTGCCCTGAGTGGGACAAACTGCAGCACACAACAAACGCAAGTAGCTCACCCCTCTAGAGCAGCTTAAACTAAACCAAAGTATACCCCTCTGGGTAGCTCATCCTGCAATCGAAATAAGTAGCATACTCCTCTGAGTGGCTTATCATATAAGAGCACACCCCCTTGAGCAACTCAATTTGTGACAGACATTGTGCTGCACGTAGCTCACTCCATGCAATTAAATCAAGACTCAACCCAACCCTGCGTCTAGTCATAGGTGGGTTATAATCCTGCCCTCAGCTCACCATAGTTTGGATGATCGGGCCAAACTATGGTTCATCGTGCCATTAAGCCACGATGTTGCCTATATTGCTTGCACAATGCTAAAGCGACTCTCTGACTTTTGGGTCTAAGTACCCCCTAGCAGTCGCTCTAGTTAGAGTCTTTGGAGTGATCCGATATTTGGCTTAATTTAGCCCTCCCATATGATAATAGTAATAATGATAATAGGGATAATAATAAACAATAATAATAATAATAATAGTAAGTAATAAATAATAATAACCATAATAACCCGCTTATATATATTATTTACTATGGATGATGGTGCGGGTCACTCCTCTGTCTCTAAGTTCAGGCTAAGCTAGGGGTCCGTTGTCCTGGTTAGGCGGGACAGCAGCCCACGTTGGGGGTTGCCCCAACGATGCCGATTTAGCCCCAGCTTAGGCCTCCCAAAATATTCTTGAGCCAGCTTTCAATGCTTGCAGTCGTTCTGCTTGATCATGGTAGATACGACCGTCGGCCCTAGAGCCTCACAAACAAGTTTCTTTTTCGAAGAAACCCCTCATTTTATATGAACATCTTTTCTCAAGTTTGGTTACACACTGACAGTTTTCTGCAAAAATCAAAGCTTTATTCATCTTCACGGAACAAATTATAATCCTAAATTTTTACTTTCATCCCACATACATAAACAGGCGGCTCCTCAAACGGGTCCCCTTCCCATCCAATATTTAGGCTGCCTTTCCGATTCGGCCTTTTTCCATGCATTTTTTGTCGAACAATTTTTCACCGACTCTCACACACTAATTCATATGCAATTAAGATCGGTAACCACTTGTCCAACAATCAAAACAACTTACTCACAACCGGAAAAAAAACGGATACAAACATCTCAGATGCAAGGGAAGTGAGCACAAGTCCACACTGTGAGAATATTTCACGGCTCCCTGTTTCCACACGAGATTCACATGTCTGAATCAAAACCCAATAAATAGGAAATACTCAAAAACATTGAAAAATCGCGTACAGTGTCCTGTCCCGTAGGATACATCTGGACAAATACCCTCTGAATCTCAGAATCAATCATGAAGAAGCGAACATCTCAAGTGGATATCACTATCCGACAATTGGAGCAGTGCTTCCGAACGGAACAACGTATCTCGTAAGAGACACTCACTAACTCAATGTCCTAACCTAAAATGTCACACTCATATCAAATACACACAAATCTCATGCAAAGTTCACACAAACTCACACAAAACTCACACAAAGCTCACACAAAGCTCACACAAAACTCACAGAAAGCTCACACAAAACTCACACGAAATAGGGCTCTCATGCCCAGTGCAATCTCTGAAAACCCTACTCAAGTCAGTCTACTCAAACTAGTAGTCTGTCATGTATATACAGTCTACTGAGGCATGAGTCAAGTCTGGTTACCACTACATACAGTACATGACTCAAACCCTGGACCCTAGAGTCAAAACTCTCAATGTACAAGTCGTGAGGCGTACATGTCCATGCCTTGAAGTCTTCAAGGTAGAAGATAGTAATATGAAACGTGCCCAACAACCTATCTCCCATGACAATCAACTCATCCTCATCGACCCTCTCTCTGATCTCATAGTCTGACACCTCATGTATCTCGTGGTCATGTAATATGTCACTCATCCTCCCTCAGCTCCAGGCCTAGCCTGTCATACACAACTTTCCTAGCACCATGACGTCTTGTTGGAAGACGAGCGCCACGCATATCCCTGACTATCCCATGTCCATCGAACTGCACGACTCGCCTCCTGAGGTAAACCTGGAAGGCGGGGCAAACAACTCTATCGTATACTCCTCTATCACACCATGAGCACATATTACTTGTACCGCTGCCCTCTACCTTCGCCTTTTTAGGCTTGGGTAGGATCCGAGGTTGTGCCCTCTCGAGTTGGATTGTCACATCGTGTATGGCCCTATCCACCGTGTCAGGACTCAACATCCTCGAGGCTCTCTCAATCATCGCCTCCTCGTCACATCTCCCAGACCCTGAAGAAAGGAGGTGCATTATGTCGTCCATCGGCCCCAAAACTGGAGCTGGTGTAAGCGGCAGAGTCGTCGGCGTATTGTTGCTGACCCGCTCGTGTCCTCCTGTGGCATGACATCTCGTAGCTCTGAAACTCTCTCTCGCTCGTCATGTCTGCCCCCCAATCCTTGCCATGCATCCCTCTGAATTGCCAACTCTTAGGGAGGAACCCAGTCCAAACCTCGTGCCTCTGCCTCTCTCCTCCTCTCGATCTCGTCTGGCTCAAGCATGAGCTTGTCGACGACTGCAGTCTCCTCACATGTTATCCCTATAGTCCCGAGTGGCTCCTCCGTCCATGAGTCTCATGAGAGACGTGTGCCTGTCCGATAGAAGTCTGCTGCCTCTCAGTCCTCCTCTCGTCGCCTATGACCCTCCTCTACGTCAGTAATCCTCTGCTCGAGTCTCGAGGTAGACTGTCTCGCCTGCTCTGCGTTAGTGACAAGGTTATGTACCATGTCTCTCAGTCCCATGTTCTCTTGCTCCAGAACACCTATCCTCCGTACTGCATCATGGAGCATCTCTCCTCGTGCAACCTCGATTTGCGTGAGTCTCCTGACATGCTCCATCACTCCTGCCAACTTTCGCACTGAGGCTTCAGATAGCAACCTCGCCTGGAGCCCCACCTCTGCCTGCGTACGCTCGCCCTCGGGCATGGGCTCCTCTCCAGTCCATCTCCTCATCCTAACCTCCTCCTGCCATCCGGCTGTGGCTGCATCCTCATAGAAGAGTATCTGTGTCTGCTCCTCAGTCTCTCGCCGTAACCTGATAAGGGTCGACATCTGACTCTCCAACTGAGATGATCGCACGGTCTCAAGGACAACCCTACGCTCGAGCCTATCTCTATCTGTCGCGTCAGCAGCTGGCTCATACTTCCTGAGCACCCTCTGAACCTGAGCTCGCCAATCACTCGCCTCTCTCTCCTGAATCTTGAGGACCGCCTCGGCCTCCTCTAGAGTCTGGACCTCCTTCCCCTCAACAAATGTACGGAGACCACTCACCACCTCTCTCAGTGCATCGTGCTCCATCTGTCTGTCGCAACTCAACTCAAAGGATTGGATGACAACTCTCCTCGTGTAATCCCGAACCTGCTCTATCGCCTGTCGAGCTGCTACGAGGCCACTACCAATATAATTCCTCTGCAAGGTTAAGTCGTCATACAGTACTCTGAGCCCACCAGTGGTCTAATCAACCGACAAGTGTGGTCTCGCGGCCTGGCCCAGTCGCTCAAAAGCCAGCCATCCTGGAAAATGTAATGATGGCATCCGTCCCATCTCCTCGGCTAGCCATGCATCCCTCATGACAGGCTCATGATCTATCAGTCCCCGAGACTTCGGCAAGCTCTCCTCCTCATAAGTCGGAGATGCGTCCTGGGTATGCTCCGCGCCGACCTCAATGTGGCCCCTCATATTGGCCGTAGTCTGATCACCATCTCGTCGTGGAGTATCCCCAAAGTCTAGTGGTGACGTTTCCACTCTCTGGGTCTGCATGTCCTCGGTGAGACCCTCTTTATCTAGCCCCAAAACCTCGGCCTCAACTCGCTCTGTCTCCATGTCCATGGGCGAGGGCTGGGATACCTCCTGTCGCATTTGCATCCTAGGAGACTCCATGTCATATAGTTGGGCAGTCAATGAACCCTCAGGCTCAGTTGGCTGTTCAGCCAATCGACTCTCGCTCAGTAACGGTGATCCGTCCAATGATGAGGATCCCATCGCACCTCTCTCACCATCCTCCACTGTCGGCTCTGACCGAGACTGGACCCCTTGCCCATCATACCCTAGCTCATCATGCATCGGCGTCGTCTCTCGCGGCCACTCAGGTTGAGGCTCCTCGTGCGCCTGCATCGGTCCTATAGTGGCAGACCCTATCATAAGCGGTAGCTCCCTTTGTGGGAGATCTAGTGCCATGGCCCGTGTGTCTCTCCATCGATAAGGCCTCTCCGATGCAGTATCGGGAACCACTCCCTCCATGGTATCTATCTCTGTAGGCCGGATCGAAGCAATCGTCAACACAAGCTGCAGGGAAGCCTCCTCCCCATCCTGTATGGGTGTAGGTGGAGTAGTCCGATCTGTCTCAGGCGCACCACGGTCTCTAATCCCTATCTCAGCTGGACATGTCTCTGTCGCTGACACTGTCCCAATCTCAGGGGTAGATGAATCGTCATGCCTCCGAGATCCTATCGGTAAGGTCTCCTTCCCCAAATCATTTGTGGGGAGCACCTTCCCAACATCACTAATCAGCACATGATCCCTCTCCTCCAAATCATCCCCTCGATCCTGACGTCCTCTGCGCCTGCCTGTCCTAGGCCTGCGTGGAATCTCTGGCTGCTCACTCTCTCTCTGTTGTTGTCGCAATCGCCCCTCATTATCCTCATCCTTCTCTAGCCGCGCTCGCGGGCGTACCCTGAGCACCGGGATGTAATCCCCAACCTCTCTGCGCAGCCTGCGTCGTCTCTCAGCGGTGAACGCCCCTCTAAGCGTCGCTATAAGCTCCGCCCAAGCCTGCACTGTGTGTGACATGGCACTTACCTCATGTCTAAGATCTGGGACAACCCAATGTCGTACCTGCCTAACCCTCTGTGCCTCAGTCCATCTCTGCCCATCCCCAAAAATGACGAAAACCTCAAGGAACTCATCCAGGTTAGCCCCGTCAAAACTCATGGGCCTACCCTGTCGATCAATGGGCTGAGGCTGCAATCTCAGCATCCGCCTGGCGAACTGCCTCCAATCCAATGACTCTCTCACGATCTGAGCCACACGCTCCTCATAGCTGCCCGTACCCCAGACCCTCTCAGTCATCTGAGCAAAATCTAACTGAAGGATCCAAACTTACCTAACTAACCCGTCCAAAAACGAAAATACATGTCCAACCCCATAACGGAATGGGTCCAGTATCAAAGACGTGGCTAGTCGCTCATCCTCCTGTCCCGCCATCCTTCCGCCCCTCCAAATAATGGCCAACTTCGAAAAGCCAACCCTGCACAAATAAAGACGGACGATAGAGGAAACATAAGTATAGGAGGACATGGGAAATGCCTATACTGACTAACCCAAGCAGATCTCTCATACCCTCAGACGACTGACCTGACTCATGAACTAAACTCATATTAAGACTTATCTACATACTAACATACAATCCTATCCTATCACTAATGCAGAGTATCACTTAACAAGACGAGGAATCATATATTATTCCTACTCGCGGTGTTCTTCTGTCACTCTCACCTTAGTCTCGAGCCTTGATCTTTTCCAGTTTCGACCCCGAGACCCAATCTCTCCACGGCGTGCCGTTAAGTTCTTCAATCTCATAAGCTCCATGCTGCCCACACCGTCTAATGCGATATGGGCCTAACCACCGCTTGTCCAACTTGCGCAACCACTGCTTCTCTAGCGATGAGTCATACAGCACCACCACATCTCCGACTTCCAATGGCTCCTTCCTGACTCGTGGAAGGAGATCCCACCTCTCCTTGTCCTCCAGTCGACTGTCCGATACTCGATCTGCGGCTTCCTGGATCCTCTCTTCTGCAATGCCAACTTGCCTGGCCCGCAAATCCAGCAACTCCTCGAATGACAAAGTGCTTTCCATATCCTGCCTCCTCCACGTCTTCAGAAAGCTCTCTATCGGGAGTGTGGCATGCCTTCCATACCATAATGTTGCTGGCGCATACTTCGTGGATCTCTTAATCGTAATATTTTCGACGAAGAATGCTGCGCGCAGATGCTTAGGCCACTGATTCTCCCTGCCGTTCGTCCATTTCGCCAGTAGATTCGTGATGGTGGTATGCCCTCTCTCAACTGGAGCATTCGCCTGCGGATGCGCCCTGATCGTGTAGCTGGCTTGTACACCATATTCTTGCAACAAGGTTCGCACTTCTCCACACCTGAACTCTAACCCTCTGTCCATCACGAATTCCACTATGAAAGGATATCTCAGGAAATACTCAGAGATGCATAAAACCAATGTTTCGCCCGTCTTGCTGCGAATGACTCGCCCATCGACAAACCCCGTAAGATTGTCCCGTGCGTCGAAGAAGATGTTATAGCTGCCCACTCCCTGAGGCATTGCCAATAGGTCCAAATGGACCACTGCTCCTGCATCTCGCACAATCCGTGGGTGCAATGGCTCCTTGTACAAAGTTGACGCCCTTATTTGACATGGAACGCACGACTCGCAATACTTGCTAATCATCTCGCTCATTCCTTCCCAATAATAAAGCTCACGCGCCTTCGCATATGTCAAGGCAAATGCTCTGTGACCATATACGGGCCCATCATGAAGTGCAGCTATAACGTCTATTTGACGATTTCGGCCGCAGATCACCCTCCTCGGGTTGCCAACCTCGTTTTTGATGAAAAGGTGTCTATCCCGGACTAAAAAGCAAGGTCGCATCTCGAGTACCTTCTTAGTTGCTTCTCTCTCTTTGATCTCACATGAGAGAAGCAAACCTAGTTCACGTTAGACGCCTTCGTACTCATCTGCACGAAAAGCCTCCGTTATCTCTCCTTCCTCAAACTCGTCTTCTTCCATATCTCTAACAGGGTCTTGACTCCCTTCTCCATCCTCGTGCACTTGGACAATTGAGTTAACGAGGAAACTGATATCTGCCGCATACCTTGCTTGAGTGTCGACTGAGTAAGCTCCACTTTCTATGGCCATCGGATCTTCTCCTACTCGGAAGGTCTCTGTCAATGCCAGCTTAGCCATCCACTCAACATCCTTCCCTCCCCAAGGATCCTCTTCCACGAAGTCCTTGAGGACTATATCCGCTCGCTTCACGTACCTTGCAGGAGCAAGAAAAGCAGATTGTCCTTGCATAATGACTCCACTGATCCCAACGACATGTGCATTGATATGGAGTTTCACGTCCTCCTCCTCATCGAGGAATGCATCCACCGGAGGTATATCCTCATTAACTCCATCGCCGGACTTATCCCAATTGATCCGACTAAGCCCGTCAGCCCGATTCTTATTCCCAGGTATGCGCTCCAACTCAAAGTCAAACATCCACACATACGTGAGCCATCTGGCAATAGTTGGGTCTGGCGGTGCATAGTTCTTCAATGAACCGGCCAATGCGGTCGGATCGACTCTCAGCACAAACCTCCTTCCGAAAAGGTAGCGGAACACCCTTAGATAGTGGAGAACTGCAAGTGTCTCCCGCTTGAACTGTGAGTAGTTTCTCTTAGTGTCATTCAAGGTTCGACTCTCGAACCTCAAAGGCCTCTCCTCGCCATTTACATCAGCTTGGATTGGAATGCCGCCCAAAGCTGTAGGCCCTGCATCAGTCTCCACGATGAAAGGATGTTTTGGCGTTGCTTCGAAGTCAGGAACTCCCAGCACCAGACCACCTTCTCTGAATTCCCTTTTGAAACTACTTACAACTCCTTCCTGCCTCTCATCCCATTCCCATTCTTGATCCTTCCTCACAAGCTTCCTCAACTGCTATGTCTTCTCAGCGAAGTTCTTGATGAAAACTCGCCAAAAGCCACATGTCCCCAAGAAGCTACGAATTTCACTAACAGATTCGAATGGCACCGGCCATTCGAGTATCTTGTTAGTTTTCTTGATGTCAAGGCGACGACCGCTCTCGTTACATACGAAGCCTAATATGGTTGCCTCCCTCATACAGTGTTTCGACTTCAGTCCACTCGCGGTAAGGTTGCAATCCCTCAGAATGTCAAGAATCCAAGCAATATCTTGTATATGATCCCAGACAAATTTCCTTACCCCAGGCATAACTTCCGTTTCATCCTTCTTTTTTCCCCCTTTCATGGCCAAATCGTCAATGTATGGTTGCGTAAGATGTGGACTAACTGTCTGCATAATGCGAACCATATGCCTCTGCACCATCGCCACAGCATTCGTCCACCCTTGTGGCGCCACGTTCATATGGATTAGTCCTCTTGGTGTATGCATCAGAGTCATAGGTCTATCAGGTGGATACACCGGGAACTGATCGTACCCCGAGTACAGGTCTATCAAGGAAATGATAGGCCTGCCAGCACAAGATTCTGACAGCGCATCAGTGTTCGGCAAACTGCCCGCATCTCGTATCGTTACCACATTCAGGCGCTAAAGGTCCTGCACCCACCTCAGGGTACCGTTCGGCTTGATAAAGCAGAACCATGGTGATGCGTAAGGCCCACTTGAGTAGTCGACTACATGAGAATGAATCTTGTCATCCAAGTAGTCGACTACTCTCCGTTCCTCTGCCGGATTAGGATAGCGTGACCCTCGCAAATTCCATGGTATATGAGGCACAGTGTGGATCCGAATCATCGAAACTTTATCCACATCAAGGCGCCTGCGCTCATCATCGTCAAATGCATATGCGCGATGCCGCTCCTTCATTACCGCTACCATAACGGCCTTCTCTTGTGGAGTGAGGAATCCTGACTCTCCTATTATCAGGTCTCCCTCAGTCCTCTCATTGATACGACACGACCCATGTTCTGCATCCTCCTTCATTTGCCGTATCAATTCACGTTCCTGCTCATAGTAGAACTCTTTTTCCGCAGTTATGAGGACAGGAACAGGATGACTCTTCTCAGTCACGTGTTTGTACCTCCTTTTGGAGCCCTGCTTAAGCCCACCCCTAAAAAAGGCTGGCTTGTAGCACGACTCTGAGGTACCCCCGACTCACTTGTCCTTGCCGGTAATCGATATACGAGCTTCACTTCTCCCTCGCCGGAATCTTCCACTATTCTCGCTCTCAAAGCCTGTACATCAATGGGATCTGCCATCCCATATGACGACACTATCTCCATAGCATCGTTGATGCTGGTTAGGCTTAAACACATCTCGCCAGTGGGCTCACATTCCTCTTCGTCTTCACCCATTAATCTCCTCCTCTCCCCTTCAGATTCCTCAAAGGTATAGGAACCTGGGTTCGGCCTATTCCTCAAGCTACGAGGTCCTGTATTGTGGCAGGTGATGATCTCGTAGTTGCCGCAGACTGGATCACTTAAGATGACGTACATTGTGTCGTCATGCTTGTTAAGTATCATCAATTCAGTGCGGCAAAGGAATGACCTTCCCAGCAGGAGAGGATGGTCCAGATCGGGCATAACGAAGAAGCAGGACCTCACCTTCACTTTTTCGATTTCAATCACCACATTCGATGCCGTCCCAGTAAAAGGAGTCTTCCCACTTGCGCCATAGAGGAATCCTGAGTTTATTCGATCGATGTCCATCCCCAAACGGAGTGCGTCAGATTCCTTGTTGATATTCATCTCCGCTCCTGTATCCAGCATTCCGCTACACGGCTTACCCTTTATACTCAGGTTCACACTCCCAGTCCCGACCGATTTCCAATCCATTTTCGTCCCAGGAACCGCCCAATGATGCTCGGCAGGGATGAGATCTCCTAGTCGTACGCTCGCCACCCTTCGACGAAAGAGTCGCGTTTTGAACCCTTCCCTAAGCTTAGGCGCAAAGGCGAGGATATCCTTTAAGTTAAGCAGGTCATTATGCCCTTCCAGAAGCCTATCAACCAAGACTTCAATATCCAGGCCATCTTCCAATGGTACTACATATTTTTGCTTTCGCGAGCCTTCTCCTTTTGCCGCTCTTTCTGACCTATCTTCCGGCTACCTCTTCTTTGCACGTTGAGCAGCTTGTTCTTCCTCTTCCTTCCTTAACCGCTCATCTTCCTCATCCTCTTTGCCTTCATCCCCCACATTAATAACTGGCCCCTTCTCACGTGGTTGATTTTCGCTTGGAGGTTTCTGACTGTTACTGGGATCTTATACTTACTCCTCGTGCATACTGCTTGCGGGAATGTGGGTTGCCCTCGAGGAGGTCGGAACGTAATGCCTGATCGCGGGTTTGATCCCAAGGTCTGACAAGCCGGTTTGACACTCGATGGTCCTGTCTCTGAGCCTAGTAAGTAAACCATCGGCTTCGCCACCTCGTCGCAAATGGACCTCATTTGCAAATTCAACCTCTGCATCTTCTCCACGAGGTCTTCCATTCGCTCCATGGTATCTATGACCCTTTCTTGGCAATACGATTCTTCTTCCTCCTCCTCTTCTATCACGATTGGCTCTTCCCTCCTGATGTCCTCTTCGGACTCACTATTGGCCAGTTCCTCCACTTTTATCGTTGACCTCGCATCTTCCTCTTTCCAGAGTCGGAACATGGCCGGTGGTGGTGGACCTCGTTCGGCTCGACGAAGCGCCTCCTTGCACATACCACCTGCAATCTTAGGGTCAATATATTTCCCATACATATCATAGACATCTCCGTCCATGTTCGTCGAGATAAGGCCATTTCCCTCATCTACTTTCCGAATTTGGCAAAACTTGAAGGTATGCCCTTTTAGTGCGCAATGATGGCAAATGGCATTTCTCCAATCGAACTTTGGCCTATCATTCCCGCCTTGCCCATTCCAATTGACTCCACGTCCGCCCCCTTGACCGCCTTGTCCACTATTACCGTTACCCCGTTCGCGACCTCGATTACCTCGGCCCTGACTACTCTGCCCGTTACCTCCATGATTCTGACCTTGTCTTTGACCCGCTGCTTGACTGGGTTGGTTGACTTGTGGCGGAGGTGTTAGCTGCTGCTGTTGGCCTCCCCCTCGCCAGTTCACTCCTTGAGTTGGCACACTGGGGTACCCTTCTGCAGCATTCGCAGTCGGTCCTCCCGCAGGCAGCCCGACTTGGTTGTAAAACGGTCATGTGCCATATGGACTATACCCCGGCCAAACAGGAGGAATGGCCCCTGGCCACGGTCCAAGCTGCGTTGGTCCTTGTGGTGGTGCCCCACTTGTACTCGCCTGATTTGCGTTTACTTGGGCCGGCGCAGCGGGCTGTGCTCCTGCATTCTTCCCGGAACCTTGGCCACCTGCGGCCTGGTTTCGCGCCTTCCTCTGATTTTTCGTCAGCTTTACTGGTTCTTCCTCTTCATCGTCATCATCGTTTTCCACCTGCTCAACCACCTTCTTCGCAGCTTTTGCCTGAGGCTGAGTCACTGTCAAAACCCGATTCCCAGCCGCTTTCTATTGGTCGGCTTGATACTTGGCTATTCCATCCGCAATAAGTTGTTGAAGGTTGATACCTGCTCCTTCAGTAACAACTCGAGCCTTTCGCTTATGCCGTTGTTGTTTCATCTGAAACTCGTATACCTGGTCTAGCTCCCCATCTGCCAAACTTTGCTTCACTGTCTCCCAAGTCAACTTTCTCCCTATGGCCCCTCTTCTGGTCAGGGAAACACTCTCGCATTCCGTGAGGTTGCTTAGGAAGATGGCACATTGGGATTCCTCGGCCAACCCTGGAACCTTCCTCGCCATCTTCTCAAACGCCGTCGCGAAGGCACCCACCGTCGTGAAATCAGACCTCTCTAGCCTTTTCAAGTCCTCCGTCGTAAGAAGGTCATCTCCCAACTGATACCGCCTCTGCATTTCTGCCTTAAAGTTCCCCCAATTTTCTGCGGCCTCGGTTGCTACCCGCATAACTTCCGGCCGCATCTCCCACCAGACGTACTTAGAGATTTGACGGAATTTTTCTTCTTCCGTCACCTTGTCAGTAATTTGCTCGAGCAACTCAAGCCACTCTGACACCTTATCCCCTTTGAAGTGGAAGATCGGAACCTTAGGGATGTTGGATCCCGTCACCGCGCGCCCATCCAGTAGAGCAACCAGTTGACCGAACGTAACCAACCGCTGGCCCGCGCCATTGGCCTGATTAAGTTCATCGCCCACCATCTCGTTCTTCGACAATCAGTTCCCTGTCAATATACAACACTTATACATAGTCAACCTAATTACTTTAACAAACCCTTATAGCTAGTCCAACCTCAACCTTAAGAGGTTGTGTCCTACTACTAAATTTAAACGTTCGACACTCATACACAAGCATTCACACCTTCATACAATCACACTACGAATTCGTCCACTCCACACCTGGTCTTAATACTTAGCGTCCCTGATTATGACAACTAGGCCCTTCTTTGGGCCTAACAAGATTCATAGGGAAATTCTCGTAGGTCGTAACGGCAATATCAAAGTCAAAAACACACTATATCATTTCCCTAATCACAAAAAAAAAAAAGTGTCGTTTTGCCTGGATCATCGTTCTGCACTATACCCAAGTCCGTTCACTATGGACCTCAGTAGGCAGCCGAGATCCCCGGCATCGGCGCCACCTATCGTGCACACAGTCCCCGTTGGGGGAACCTCCCGGCCTCGTCACGCAGGATTGGCAGTATTCGCAAGTCGCTTCACAAAAAGGGAAGCGGCAGAGCCGCTCCGGCCGAGTGCGCCAATTATACCTCCATCGAGTCCCTACGATAGGACAAGGTCTCGCGAGGTACAACTTACCTCCACCTGCGGGAGCTGTCACCATCCCTTGGGTGGGCGTATCCCCGCCGAGCTACTGAACCACACGCGAAAACTTTTACTTGCAATCACGGAGGTGGCCCAGCCGAGGGCGTTTCTCGTATGCTGTAGCATAGGGGGTACGCTCGGTCCACGCCTAACTCGGACCCGTACGCGAACCGTTGTCAGGCGGCCACAAGTAGTGTGCCTCCTGAAAATGGCGGTTTTGGGACTTAGGCTCAAGGGCGAGTCCATGTTTTTACGGTACTTTGGTCTGATCAGGCAGCAGAAATTATGAGAACTCAAGGTGTCCCTGATTTTGGGCGCACTGGATCTTAAGAGTAACCCTCAAAGATGGCGAGATGGATGGCCACCCCCGACGCGTCTAGGGACTGTCAATTCTGGCCGTCCAGAGGGTTAGATTCGGATTGGCCTGCCGCGGAAAGGGATCGGGGAAACTGACCTCGCCACAACATTTTGGCGGCAAACGACCAGGGCCGAAATGAGGCCTCAAAATTTTGTCTATTTTAGTACCATAATTAAAAATAAAAAT